TAATTGAGAAGACAGGCTGTTAAAACAAGGAAGGTAGGAGATAATGTATTTTTGCATTGGTTTTGATGAGCTCCCAGAAAATAAGAAATAAGAAGGCGTTCTCCTCCTTCTAGAAGGAAGCCAGAAAGTGGCTCTAGAGAGCTGAAGTCCTGGTCTCAGCTGGCAAAGTAGATGTCATAGTCTCTGTCTGCTGTCTCTGCCTAAAATAAGCCAAATAGACTGAAGTATGCTAGCAGTGGGATAGCAAGGGATTTTGCAGGGATCATCAGACAAGGGACTTGAGAGCAGATTAAAACCTTGCACCCTAAGCTCAAAGCAGAGGCAGTTCACTGAAGACCTGGATGGACCCAGTTTGCAAGGCCTTTGGGTGAGTTGGGGCTATGCTAAAGTTTGAGGAAAATGCTGCTTTAGAAAAGACATGTACATCTGGCTTGCTAGTAAAATTGGGTGTTACTGCTTAGGATCCTTATGTATGAGAAGGAGAATCCCAGCACAGAGGAACTGAGCCTGAGAGGTGAGTATTTGGTTTTGGAGAGGGGTGTGTGTGTGTCTCAGTTTATGACATGCCACTGTTAGAGAACCATGCTCGCAGGACCCTTCAGACCACATCTTTCATACCGCAGTGCAGCTGGAGTGCACCCGTCTTGAGATGGGTGGGTAGATCTGGAAAAGAAGGTGTAAGCTACTGTATTTTGACATACCTTTTCTACCTTGAAGCATCCCTGGGAAAGAGCATGCTGAATTTCAGTAATCTGTTGTTTGAAACTTAACATGTTCTGAAGTTCCCTACAAAATGGCAGTTCTGAGGGGTGAAAAAAAAAGGTTTTGCAAATAGAACATCATGTTTCCAAAATCACGTTTGTTCTCTGGTGGAATTTGAAGAACTTCGCCAGAGCTGTTCAGCCCTGGATGCACTGCAGAGGTGATGACATTCATGAGAAGCCCGTAGCATGCTCTTCCAGGCTGGCTCTCCCAGAGCTCTCAGACTTGCCCAGCATAATAATATTCACAGTATTAAGTCACAGTTGCCACACGCTGTTTGTATTCAGCAGCTCGTGATTAATTCAAGTTATTACTGGTGTTGCAAGGAATCTTGACTGCCATGGATGGTGCACGTGGATAGGGCTCCCCAGAGCTGCAACATGAATACTTGTGTGTTCCCGTTCACCCTTTACAGCAGTTCACTAGGGTAAACCATCACAGAACAGCCAAGGACTGAGTGGAACCCCACTTGTTACTTAATGGAAGTTCCTTCATGTCCCAGTACATTTTCTGATTATTGATGAATTCATATTTTGCAGCACTGAAAAACTATTTATATCCACTATTTGTACAGAAAGTCTCCAGCCGCCACTGCAGGTCTGGAATCAGAATACTGGGACTGGCGACTGGATCCCAGTGTTGGGGCGTGAGGTGGCATTAAAATACCCCACTGGAGAGGAAAGAAGCAAATATTACTATGCAGCAGTCACTAAAAAAATGGGACATTTGAGGCCTGAATGGAAGTAATAGAAGTATATGCAAAACCTTCCCCAAGAACCAAATAATTGACTTCATGAAGGTATAACTTCCAGTTGTGTGACGTCTGTCTGGTCTAACAACAGGCAAATAGTTGGAAAAATCATTCTGCCATTTAGCCTTTGCTGTCCTTGCCCTTTTGGTGTGCATACCCTCATCAGATGCACCTGCAGTAAAAGCCTACTTTGCCTCTTCCCTGAGCACATTGCTTATCCAACCAGTTGTGCCAGAGCAACGAGTGCCACCTATGTCTCCACTGCTCTGTACACAGGAAAATAAATATTAGCAAAGAAAAGGGGCTTAGGTACTCCTTAGGATTCATTTGAGCAGGGAGGGTGAAGAGCAGCTTCTGCTGACCCTGTAAATCACCTCTGCTTTTTCTTCCCTTCCTCTCATCATGAACAGCTGCCAGCCTTTCACAGATCAGAAGAGGTGTTACTGGAGATTATAAAATACGTTAAAAATTGAATGAAGCAGGAAATATCTTGTTGAAACAGAGGCTGATGGAGAGGTTGGTAGGAAAGAAACCACTAAACTGAAATCCTTTTTGGGTTGGCTGTCTCAATATATTACCATAAGGAGAGTTAAGCACAGGCTCCCCCGCACCAACTCCTAGAGGAAACCAAGCAAATCCAAACCAAAGCTTCAGCAAGGGCATGCAGCTGGTGTGCAATAACTGATAGAGACCTGTCCTAATTGAAATCAGGAAGCTACTGTGCCACAAATGAGTGTGTAGAAATGTGGGGAAGAAGCCCCTAAATGCAAGTTCAAAGTGAGTGCTCTGTTCATGAATTGCTGCACTGCCTGGCTGCCCAGTACTGAGACATGTTACAGCCAGCACCAACTATGCGAAAGGTTGGCTTTCCTCTGGCCAGCAGAAAGGGTCTGTGGGCACCAGCAAAGGCCGGTGAAACCAGCAAAGGCCGGTGAAACCAGCAGCCTGACCTCCTTACAGCCAGGAGTTTCCACTGAAGCTGCAGAGAGTGAAACCTTGTTCAGCAGCACAGCATGTGAAACACAAGGGGTGAGTGGGGGAAGTCTCATCCCTTTGCTTCCCTGCATTTCCCCTGCTTGGTGAGGTCAGCTAGCCTTAGAAAATCTACTAGTTACCTGTGTCTTTTTGAAGCCTCAGGAACTCATTTGAACTGGTTTTGTAGTAAGGAAAAGGGAAATGTGCAGCGGGGCTCTTAGTACTGAAGAGCTCAGGCACTCAGAGGTGCCATATGTTCACAAAACCTAGAATTAGGAAGGGGGAACTAAGAGACATCTTTTGAAAGAACGACCTTAGCTTGTGCAAATGCCCCCAACATAGACACTAAGACTGGTTATAGACTGAAGAACGTCTGCTTTGGAAATATAAATGTTCACTAAAAAAATCCCTGAAAACTCAGTTATTCACACATAGTGAAGAATTATAAATAGCGCAGGCCACAAAAGGCAAAGCCAGAACATCTTTCCTTGTTACTTTGGATGATAACCCACCGTTGCAGGTTGACATCACTCCTTTCCCAGCAAGGCAAGTCTCCAAACCACATGGAAGCTCCCCTTGAGCACCTACAATAATGCCAACTCTCAAGCAAGCTCTTATTTCACATCGGTTAGTCAGATCTGTCGGAGTTTACCTCCCAGCTCCCCCGTGCCAGCTGTCTGCCCCTCTTGTAGCTTTACGAGTTGCATGGCAACGTCCTTAAGTCAGCACAGAGCAGAGGAATGCAATGACTGGGCTTGCTTCTTGGTTTAGGTACTTACAGCTTTTGCAGCTTTCCCCATCCTCCCTGCGCAGCTCTAGCCTCCTGGTGGCAGCAAAGCCCCTGGACACCACCAGGAGCTAGGATTTCACCTAGAACTTTGCATTAATAATTTCTAAATCATCTGTAGCACACAGTATGATGCTCCCATGTGAACTTTTTGAAGCTCTTCTGTCATCTTGCCTTCTGCTTTGCTAAGCTTAATTTCTTGGGGATTTGCACATCAGTCCAATTCTGGGGACTTTGCTCTTGCATTTATGTCTCTAGAGGTGAAGTGACAGGCCACAGTATCCAGAGGTGCTCCCCATTCACCAAGTGTGCTGAAAATCCTTGTTTTCTCATCCCCAAAATGATCCTGGACTTTCAAGACTCACAGGGGAAATTTCCCAGGTCTCACAGGAGAATCTACAGAGAAAAAAGAACTGCTGATGATGTAAGTGATCAGCCCTCTGGAATCTTCACTGGGTCATGGGATGAGGAAAAACAAATAAGGACATATTGATCACTGGGCCGATTTAAAAATCTGCCCTCAGGGGCCTGACGTACTTTGGACTAAGCTCATTTACTGGCAGTTTCTCCCCCTGCTCCCTGCATCCACAAGGACACTGCTACTTTCCTCAGATGGAAGTGGGGTGGCATCTCCAGGTGTCTCCCAGGCTGGATGGGGCCACAGCTGATAACACCTAACAGGATGCATCAGAGTGAGCAGATATATCACAGGTGCCTACACAACATGTGTTCTCAGCCCAACCCAGACCTTGCCACCCAGCTAATGCAGTAAGCAGAAAGAGCAGGACAAACCCATTCTTACTACTGTTTCTGGCAGGAAAGATGTAGCGACTATGACAATGTGGTAATCCATAAGGCCATTGCTTTTTGGAGTGATATATCATGTGAAACACCTGAGGACAGCAGCTTTTGCCTCCAGAGAGTTAAAACAAGCTATTGCAACCTTTTCCAGGCACACAGCACAGGATATAAGGCACGGGACAGGAGAAGGCTTCTCAGGCTAGGGGCTGGCTCTTCTTCCTCTCCACCTGCCCCATGGGGTAGACATGAGCCCATGTCTCTGAACTAACTTGCAACAGTAAGGAGGATGAAAATGTTCATTCTGCCCGCTTCTCAAATTCATATACTTTACAGACTCTGTGCCTGAAGGTAGCATGGAGGTCAAACTCAGTGAGGCAGTTTGGACCATTTGTTCTGCCACAAGTGAGCAGAGCACAAGGCATATAGCAAGGCAAAACCGAAATCCTGATCACTATTACAATGAACAGGGACTGCAGAAAAAGAAAAACGGGGGAGGGGGGGGAATCAAGCAGGTTCTGCCCACCTAACCTTGCCTGGATAACCAGTGTTTTAACTCCGTATCAGTCATGGATCATGTATAAATTGAAACATCGGCTTGAAGGGCTGTGAAGTGATGCTGGGATGCCAAGCAGCATGAGCTAAGGCTGTGCAGCTTCTTTCTGCCAGTGGCCTCAGCTGACCTTGGGCTTTTTGGCTCTCAGTGCCTTGGTTTCCCCATCTACACACTAAGCTATGCTTTTTATAAAAAGTCATTTGTAGCAGGCAGGATGATGGAAAATGCTTGTACTTAGCTAAACCTACGATTTTGCTGGTTCATTTCCTCTAGAAATACAATATGGGAGGGAAAAGCGTCCAAAATTTGCAGAGGACAGAGGCAAGGCAGGCTGGGGCAGCCAGACAAGAACTTTCCCATCAGACTTGTAGGAAGTGGCTTGTTTGGGAAACACCTTGAGACCCAGCTAGAATCCCAGACCCGAGAGCAGGCATTGGGCAAGCGCAGAGTTGGAGCTTACACTGGGGTTTTTTGTTAGATATAAAAGGCTTAGACGGATCAATGCTAACCACAGCGCCTGGGATGTGGATGAGGGGAGCTGTGCAGAGAGCAGAGCCTGCTATGGGATGGGAAGCCCAAATCTTCCTGGCACTGCTCAGCCTAATAGCGACTATTTGTGATGCCCAGGACACCTGCCCAGGTGAGTCAGACACAAATCCTACTGCCATCCCACTAGAGACAGCCTGCTTCAGCTTCCCCCCATAACACAAGGAGATTGGGAGAGGGTGGAGGGATGTGATTATTTGCCTTCTGTGCTTTTCTTAATTCAGCTGTAAGTCAGAGGAGGGTAAGGGGGGGCCTGACATCTCAGCAGCCACTTTACAAAACTGCTGGTTCCAACCAAAGATGTGCCATCCTCCTCAACTTACCAGTAGCATCTCCAGGAACAGGCTGTCCCAGTTGAGGTTTTCCATCCTGGTGAAGGGGTTTTTGTTCATGGCGCCTTGGCCCAGTTACTAAAGGATGCAGTGTAATACAAAGAATTGGTCAAGTGCTTGCTGGGTGCCAGGAACCCTGGCAGCTTGGGGATGCTGCACAAAGCTTTTTTCTATATTCCTTGGGAAGGCGATTGGGGTGATTTCAAACTGATCTGCTGTCAGGAAATCTGTCCTTACTGTCCACAGATCCGTCAGTGTCACTTACTCTGCTGTCAATACTCCCTCAGGGCACCTCTCGGGTTTTGTTTTATTGAGCTACAGTGTATTTGTCATGCATACAATGTCATATATAACAGCTTCCTCTCCTACTGAACTCCCCTGAAGCCAGAGAGATTCATTGTGTCACTCTTGTAATATGTGATGTCTCATCCATTGATCCACACACCTCCAAACTCCCACCTTCATTTCTTTTGCTTGTACTGTTTCTCAACTTCAGAGGGTTCAGTTTCCTCTCCAAGACATTTCAGAGCCCTAATAATCTCCACAAAGACTGTCTTAATTTCCTCAGAGGTTAGAATAGTGGGACTCGGTGATGGTGACCAGCTTGCCATTCTCCAAGGATGCCCAGGAAACCCAGGTGCCTCTGGTCCAAAAGGAGAACCAGGTCTCCCAGGAACAAAAGGTGAGACCCCCAAAAGCCAGCAATCAACACTGTAAGATGAGGTGGCTTTGTTGCTTTGGGTAGGGGAAGCTGATGCTGGAGCAGTGGCTGGCCTGGCACTGGCTTCTGCAACTGGAGAGTCAGAGTGGAAAACACTATGTCTAGAGATGGGCTGGTATACATGGAGTCACCTTTTTCCCCTCCATCCTGTCACAAGTCTGAAGTGGTCCTGGGGTGTGAAGTGCCACAACTTATTTGTTTCTTCTACAGTAAAAACATCTGTTTATTCTCTGAGTCTTTATTGAACTGTTGGTTGGGAGGGAAGCTGCACTGCTCCTGCATGTTTACCAGGGAACAGCTGGGGAAGTGTGCAGGCACCCCTTACCCCGGAAAGCAAGGGAGATGGGAGTCCTTAGGGGTTTCATAGCCAACTCACGGAGAAGGTGAACCACATTAGCAGGGGGAAGAGATCCACCGCAGCAAAATTGGTGGACTAGCTCCAGGATACACAAAGGTGTGGAATAATTATTGAATATATCTAAAAGTATAGCATTGTTCACACATAAAGGAAAAAACGGACTTTCAGGGTAAGATGCAGCTGCACCTGGTATGCCAGGAATTTACTCCACAGCGGTTCCCGTAGCAACATTGCTTGATGGAGAATGGGGCGGAGTGGAGATTCTGCAGCCAAGCTCTGTCCCAATACCAGCAGAGATGGGAACTAGGTGGTACTTGAAACTGATAAGCTGCCTGCTTGCTGCCCTGAGCCAACAGTCTGTCATCTTTTGACAAAATGCTGTCCTTTTGTGAACTTTGCTTCATTATAATGCATTTTAATACAAAAACACACCTCCATCTCCAATGCTACCCGCCTCCAAAGTGAGACCACCCCTCACTGAGCATGCTCTTTAAATTTCTTGTGCTATATACCTTTAAAAGCGAAGCAAGAGAATTTTACACCAATAATAATAAAGGTATGTATGACTAGAGTCACTCAAGCTCCACCTTAGAAGTGAAAAATAGTATAAAAGTGACCCAAGAAGTGGGGGCATTAGGGAAGACACCATCGTGGACAAGTCAAGGAAAATTCCATCAACGGATCACCCCCGACTCCTGGGACCAGTCAATGGGCTGGACCTTTCTTCCCCCCCATAGGGACGCCTGTGGATAAGACTTGCACTGTATTCAGTGCTTCCCTGGGAAAATTAGGAACCTCTATATAGAGTTACTTTTGTTATTTTTATACTTTAAAGCCTGGCTGTGTTATTCATAACTTTGTCGCGCGTTTGTATATTTTACTATTTGCACGTGCCTTTGCAGACAGTGTATTTATCACCGGCAATCCACAAGAACCTGTATCTGTTGCTTTAATAAACTGCACTGTTTAAGTAGCTAGTCGTAAATCTCTCATTGAACGCGACCAGATCCTTCGGTGTGGCCGTGTTAGTTCGTGAGCACGATTAGACTGAAGGTGCAGTGCACTATTAGTGCATCCGGAATCGTGATTATTCAGTATATTGAATGCGACCGGACTGATAGTGGTAAATTGGATATCACTCAGAATTTAAGCCTAGCCGCACCCAGCCCCTCTGATATCTGAGGACCAGCTGGAATGCAAGGGGGTTTATTTTCTGCCAAATTCCCTTACCTCTGAACGCAACAAAAGGTCATAGGAATTCCTATGTGAACTGCAAATTAGGATTTGCAATGGCAGTACCAGTGTAGTGTAGCTTCAGCAGAAGGAGTAAAATATGTTGCAGAATTGAATCTAATTAACAAAACCCAGCTTCCTCGTACCTGCGAAAGCCAAGGCCCAGCTGCCTGGGCTTCTGTATCACCTCCCCTCTGGTCAGTTTGCTATGTGCATGTACAAACTGAGTCTTTCCTTGCAGGAGAAAGGGGAGCCCAGGGACTCCCTGGGAAAGCAGGACCACCTGGTGTAAAAGGTAATGTGCAACATATTCAGGTCTAATCCATAGATCTACCCAAGTTCAGCACATACTGGGACACAGAGTCTACAGAGGTGAATTGTAGAGCTGGTCATAGTCCAAGAAAGAGCCCTGAAGTATTGTAAGTAAAGCAGAATTTGGGGGTACGGATCTTGCATGGGGTGAGTCCTAGAAAGAGT